AGCCGACTCCGAATGAAAGCTTCCCACGGTGCGTCGCCAGAGCTGCTCTGATTCGCCCCGCCCTCCGTCCCTCTCGTGGTCGCGTCCCCACAACCGTATCACTAGGTCGCCGATGTCGACATGAAGTTGCATATGGTGCCTTATTGGATGCTTTCGGTGCCCCGTGCACGTGCCCCCGCGCAAAAACTAATGCCATCGTTGAGACTCCTCAACGTTTCGTCTGGTCTTGACTCAGAGCTCCTGCCAGGTTTTTCACTTCGTCGTCGTCGTCGTCGTCAACCGTCGGCGTCGTCGTCGCCGTCGTAGTCATCGTCATCGTCGGCGTCGCCGTCGCCGTCGTCGTAGTCGTTGTCGTAGTCGTACTGATAGCGTCGTTCGGCGTGTTTATCTTTCGCCGTCGTCGTGATCCACGTCTTCGGTTTTGCGGCACTTCCGGCGTGCCAGGTGTTTCTTGCAGCCAGACGCCCCCCCCTCCGTGGGGGCCGAGCCGCTTTGGCCCAAGACGTTTCCACGCCATCCTCTGCCACCTGCCAGCCCCGTCTGGCCTCATGGGCGGCGCGGCACCTTCACGCAGCGCTGGGGCGGAGCCCCTGCAAGGGGAGCCCCCACAAGGTGCTGCTGACCCCTCGCGCCTGCCGCCGCCAGCGCAGAGCTCGCCGCTGGTCCTGGGCCTGAGGCCGCACCCCGCGCTGCCCAGGGCGCCCCGGGCGGCGGGCCACCCCGCGGAGGCCGACGACGCCCTCGGCCCCTGCAGGGAGGCCGAGCCGCTCCGCGCGCGGAGCTCCCCGCCGACCCCCCGCGCGGCCGGGCTCGCGCGGCCGACGCCGGCCGCCGAGCCGCGCCCGGGCGCAGGGCGGCCCCGCCGGGGCCCGCTCGCGCCCCCGGGGGGCGAGGCCCCGGCGGGCTTCCCGCCCGCGGCGGTCGCGTCGCCCCTGCGCGAGGGCCTGCGCCCCGAGGGGCCGAGGCCGCGCCGGGGGCCCCCGCGGAGGGCCTCCTCGCCGAAGGCCAGGGGCAGGGCCAGGGCCGCGGGGCCGAAGGCCGGGCGCCATGCCTCGCCGGACTGGGCGCCGGCCCTGGCCACGACCCGGGAGCCCTCCCCCTCGGAGCTGGGGGACGCGCTGCTGCTCCCCTGAGGGGGCGCTTTTTGCGCCGGGTCGCTTTGCACGCCGGCGGCCGCCGCCGTGCCCGCCTCGCAGAGGCGCGGGCGCAGGGTGCGGCTGACAGGAGGAGGAGGAGGAGGAGGAGGAGGAGGAGGAGGAGGAGGAGGAGGAGGAGGAGGAGGAGGAGGAGGAGGAGGAGGAGGAGGAGGAGGAGGGAGGGAGGGAGGGAGGGAGGAGAGGGAGGGGGAGGGAGGGAGGGAGGAGGGAGGGAGGGAGGGAGGGAGAGAGGGGCGAGGGGGATGCCGTCAGGGGCGGCGTCGGGGGTGGATGGGCTCCGGGGGGGCGCACGTCGGCCCTCCAGCGCCCGGTCATCGCGGAGGGGCGGATAGGGGCCCACCCTGGCCAGGAGCGCACGGTCTCGCCATCTGGAGCCTATCGCCGACCTATCGGCGATGTATCGCCGACTCCAGGTCGATGTCACCCCCCGCTCGCTCCCCCTCATGCAGCCACTCGCAGAGGTGGTAGGGGGAGGGGGGGAGCTTCTCAGAAGCACCCTTGCTTCTTAGAAGGCGTGGGCCTAGTCTGTAGATGTGAGGCCGGCGCCTTCTAAGAAGCAGCCTCCTTCTAAGAAGCCTGCCCCCTCCCCCTACCCCCTTGTGCGAGCCGCCACCCCCCCCTGAGCCAGTCCTCCCCATCGTTCCCCCACAGCGTGGGGAGGGCGACTGGAGTAGAGCCCGCTAGACGCTGCCCTTGCAGCGCGCAAGCCCCGAATACCAGAGATATGGGCCTGATCACGGTCAGGTCAACATGAGGGCTTGACTGTCGCTTACAGGGTCCGTATCATCTTGACGATGCTCGTTCCCCTTCGAGCACTGGTCGAGTCGCAACGTGGGTGTGCGAAGGCAGCTCGGCTGCCGCGCTCTTGCGCACCAGAGTCACGCCCTCGGTCGATTTCGATCGCCACTTCTTGATCTTGCCGCTCTTCGACATAGGCTCATCATGCGAACAGTGTGCAAGTATCCTTGAACTAATCCCCTCCTTCGGCTCTAATTATGTTGCTTGTCAAGGAAGGTTAAAGCCGCTCTGGTGCTACGAGCTTGCTAGCTTGGTGTAACTCTCGGAGTGGGATTTTGTTGCGTTTCCAGTCAAGCCTGATCCTGCACACACTCCATCCGACGTGCATTCTAGATGTAGAGCGGTTGCCCTAGAATTACGCGATTGTGATGCCGTGCTGCGTTCAACGGTGATATCTGTCGTGCGCCACGCTAGTGCCGCTTAGCGCCTGCAATGCAGTGAACAGCGGCGTCACACAGCGGTGTGCGAGTAAGTATGCCAGACCGTGCAAGCAGGTGAGTGGCCGAGTAGCGACCGCCTTGATTGTCTCGATCGTGTTTCAATCGCGGCAGCACCGTTGATCTTGTTCTTTCGACCCAGTGGCCCAATGGCCAGGCCCAATTGCCATTGTACAAACTCGAAGAGGGGAGGGTGGGGGACCAGGAAGAGGATGGCTCTGCAGTCGAAGATTTGCTACTGCAATGGCGCTGAGGTCAGCGCGGCACGAAGGCTGCCTTGTTGACCATAGCCTCTGATCACACAATTTTTTTCGAGCCATTCATGCCACCAGACCAGCGTCCGCAGAGTGTGGTGCGCCATTGTCCCCTGCAGGGATTTGGTGCTCGTGGTAGTCGCGGCGACCCAGATTCTGACTGCACGTCTCCTTTCCTCCCTCCTTCCCTCCCTCCCTCCCTCTCTCTCGCGGCTGGTGGGGTGTGGTGGAGTGGAGTGGGGGGTTTGGGGCACAGGCGGCTTCACTCCACCATGCAGCGAGAAGCCCTGTGGCCAAGACGCCGAGCCTGGCTCGAGACGGCTGCCCGCCCCCGCGCGGCGCGGCGCGGAGCGCGAGGCCTTCCGCGCGTAGCGAAGGGTAAGCGCCGGGGAATCACCCTGCACCACCTTCGGCGGAGGAGGAGGAGGAGGAAAAAGACGAGGAGGAGGAGGAGGAGGAGGAGGATTTTTGTTGATGGGGCAGAGGACCGTCAGGCTGAGCGGCGTTAGGCTTGGCCTTTTTGGGAACCGGTCGGCCAGCCCGCCGAAAGGCAGGTCTCTGTAGTTTTTTCTGCTCGTTGCGGGAAATATGGCACCGATCAGGTGAAGGGCTTGATCAAGGAGTGCCCCGCAATGGGCCAGACGAAGGGGGCAGGAGAGCTCTCAGGGAGCTCCGGGAAGGGATGTGCCCAACCTTTGAGAGGGTGGTGGGTACCCCTTGCCTTGTGAGGGATAGACTTGTCCGAGGCTCCAGAGGCTCCAAGAGAGGAGAAGGACGAGGAGGAGGAGGAGGAGGAAAAGGACAGGAGAACGAGTCGGGATGGCGGCGCCAGCCTGGTCGCCTCTGGCGGCTCCCAGCGCGAAGCACCGGGCGGCCACCGACTGCCCGTCCCAACAGTGCACCCGTACGTAAGCGTCGCCCTTGGAGAACCGCTTCATTGTAAGTCATTCAAGTTCAGTGAGGAGTGTTCAAGAATAGTCAAAAAATAGTCTGGGGACGATTTTTCGACTATTTCTGGCCACTTTGAATTTGTTTGGACTATTTTGAATTTTTCGTCCAAAATCCGCCTGTAGGGGGACACGCCCGACCTAAGCTTAATTGCGCACGCCAGCCCGAGTGTGGTCCACACGGGAAAAGCCCGCGCACCGCTTCTGCAGTTCCCTTGTGGGTTCTGTTCTCCAGCCAGTGGCATATGTCCTGCAACACATCATGGCCTCGTTCGTCGAGGCCGGCAGACTCGACGGGAGGGATCGGCACTTGGACCCCGTTTTCAGCAACCCAGTCGGCTTCATTTCCTTCAGTGGCGGCCGCCACCAACAAAGCCAGGCGAACCTCTCCCGAGGCGCCCTCGTGAAAAAACCTCTCCGGTCTTTAAGCGGCGTTCAGATATTTCGCATTGAGCGTCGCGCCGCCGTCGGCATACGATATGCAGCAGCCTTGTGACAACTTTCGGAGAGAGACCTCGATGAGTCGATGAGAGTTCAGTGTCCGCACTCCTGTTGCACCCTCGGCACCGTACTTCACAAGTGTATGGGGAAACGCGCGAAACAATATTGACTCTGCGAGAACAGACAAGTACGGGTTCGGACCGCCAGCTGCTCTTGTCTCGCTTGGCTCCAGAGCCCAACCTCAGGGCCCTTGCTTTGACCTGGGAAGCGCGTGTTGGACGAGCCCTGAGCGACTGGACAGAACCCTCGGAGACGCCCAGGGCTGGGATGCAGCAGTGCTGATACCAGGCATGCGATACCCGCCAGCAGACGGGTCATTCAGAGGCCCATTGCTGGGCACGTCACGGGAGATGATCGTCATCATCATGACAGTAACTGACGAACGAACAACACACACACATATATACATACATACATACATGCATGTCCATAAGGGGGGTCGGCGGAGGCTATGGGCGCGTGTTGTCGGATCGGGGCCCACGCTCGTGCGGGGACCCCCCCCCCCCAGGGCCCGACAACCCGCACCCATACCCATAGCCGGTCCTCTTCCTTCCGACCTCCCTGAGTGTGGGTACAGGTGTGCGCGTGTTGTTCACTCGTCCGTACAAAATCAGGGCGCTGAAGAAGGAGCCCTTTTCGTTTGAGAGGGGCTCAGTGTTCCCTAGTTGTTTTGCAGTTCGCCTCTGGTTTTCCAGTGGCTTTCAATGCGAAGTCGAAGTTTAACTTATGGAAAAAGAGGGCCTCGTTCCCTTGATGGGGTTCCTTAGGTGAACGCCCCAACTGTAAGAGAACCAGCTGTGCGAACAAGGCAACTTTCGTTGTGCCGCCGAGCCTGGCGCAGCTGATTAGGCAGACTTGCATGCGCTGCCCTTCGGCGGCGCGGCTCGCTGGCTCCGCGTGGGCTGCATGCCGCCTTCCACATGTTGCCCACCTGGGATCGAAGCTGGGCCTCATCCGACGGCACCTCCAGGCCCGCGTCGGCAGCGGACTTCGGAGGAGGAAAAGGTACCCATTACGCTATTTTTCGTCCGTTGTCCCCCTTGGTGGGCCTCCTGGGAGGCCCTCGTCGCCACCGCTGGATTCGCCTCGATATTCGGGTCAAAACGCACCCCTGGAGAGGTCTGGGGAGTATCAGTGTCGGTACTGTTTGTTACGTTGCTTCTTCGGGGAACCTCGCCTGTCCCCATAGTTTGTGCCTTTTCTCTTGTGCCCGACGCGGATTTGGCGTGGATCCGACGTGGATCCGACACGGATGCGGCACAGCTCGGTCGAGTGTGCCATAGATTCGACACGGATTCGACGCGGACAGGGCCGCGAAGGGACGCACAAGGCCCTCCGAGGATGCAGCATCATGTTGTTGGCTTCCCCCGAGCTCGTGGCATCGTGGGACGTCTCCACCGGGAGCTGCTCGGTCGGCACCTGCAGAGCAGCACCTCCCCGCCCAGCCCCCTGGAGGCCTGGGGCCCGCCGCAGGCGCGGCCTCTGCGCAGCGCGCTGCCGTTCGGCGTATTCGGCGGCGGTGGCGAGCACGACGAGGACGAGACGACGACGACGACGACGACGACGACGACGACGACGACGACGACGACGACGACGACGAAGACGGCATCTTCGGCGGCGCAGCAGGCGCTGGGCAGGCGCAGCGCCCCGAGCTGGGCAGCACCGCCCCGAGCCGCCAGAGAGCACCTCGCGCTGCAGGTCCTGGGGCTCCCGTGGGCCACCTTGGCCAGGAGCTCGTCGCCGCTGCCGGCGTGGGCTCTGATTCGGGGGCGACGATAGGGGCGAATAGCCCAGTCAGTCAGTCAAGCCATACGCCGGAGCGCGTGGGCGAAAGGAGACGATGCCGGCTCGTACTCTCCGCTTTGCGGGAGCAGCGGCACGCCCACCGATTGTTCAGTTGCATCATGTGCGGGTGGAAAAGAGGAGAGGCGGGGAAGACCGGACAGGGGGGCTCACTGAAACAGGGTGGCTCACGCAAACTTCCACTGGCTTGTAAAGGTCAACGAACAATCTCTCCATTTTGTAGCGTCGCGCAGGCGAATCGCCCAGGAGGGAGCGATACGTGTGTGTATCCAGGGGCGCCGATGGTGCATGCCTTCGGTGAGGCTTCCGGGCGAATGCGTGTAGCGCCCGCCCCTCGGCTATTCGCCCCTATCGTCTCGGAAGCCGGGCAATGGCTGCTAAATCCGTGGCTGCTAAAGTCGACCTCCCGGAAGTTGTCTTCGTCCTTCCAGGAAGAAGCCCGTTGATTGTTTCGCGTGCCGCGCCTCATTCCAGGAAGTTGTTTTCTCCTTCCGGGAGGGCCGCTTTAGCAGCCACGGTTTTAGCAGCCCTCGCCCAGCTTCCGATCGTCGCCCGCGACTGAAGGACGCCTGCGCCGAGGCTCCACCGTCAGACCGGGGGCAACGGCATGCTGCTGCCCTGGCGGGGTTCTCACGGCCACGCGCTTCTGCACCTCGGCCAGCCGCGCCTGCAGCTGGATGTGGTCGCCGCGCTCCTCCTCCGGCAGCCTCTCTTCGCGCGCGAGCTCACCCTGCAGCGCTGCCACCCGCCGCTGCTTGGTTGCGAGGTCCGCCTCCAGCTTGGCGACGGCCTTGCCCGCCCGCTCGCACTCGCGGGACAGCCGCCAGAACTGGGCACCCACCGGCTGGTTAGCACGCTGCTGTGCTACCCGCTCTCCCCTATTCGTCTTGATGGCATCCAGCAGACACTTCGAGATGTCTCCAGGCCCTCCGCCTCTGACAGGGGCACAAATTGCGCATCGAGCCTGGCAATCTTCGCGCTGAGGTTCCAGTCTGAGGCGTCGTCGCCGTCACTGTCCACCTCCACAGTGTCGGGCGGCTTCCCAGGCCCAGACGGCTCCTTGAGCCGCCGCTCCGATTCTCGGATCTTCTCTTCCATGGCCTCTCCTGCTTGGGTGGGCGTTTGCGGGGCCTTCTCCTCCTCCTCTTCCGCTGCTTCCTGGCCTCTCCTCGTCCTCTGTCCCCTCGCCTCCTCCTTGGTTGTTTGGCCTTCTGGCCCTCGAGCGGCTCCCATGATGATGATGATGATGATGATGATGATGATGATGATGATGATGATGATGATGATGATGATGACGATGATGACGATAATGACGATAATGACGATGACGATGAGGATGAGGAGGATGAGGATGAGGATGAGGATTATGATTATGGTGATGATGATTATGGTGACGGTGGTAATGATGATGGAGATGATAATTGTGATGATGATGACGATGATGATGATGATGGTGATAATGATGCTGATAATGATGATGATGCTGATGATGATGGTGACGATGATGATGAGCATGATGATGATTGTGATGATAATGATGCTGATGATGATGATGATGATGATGATGGTGATGGTGATGGTGATGATGATGATGCTACTGATGAGGATGTTGATGATGACGATAGTGATGGTGGTGGTGATGGTGATGGTCATGTGTATGATGCTGATGATGATACTGATAATGATGATAATAATAATGGTAATGATGGGAATGACGATAATGATGATGATGATGATGATGATGATGATGATGATGATGATGATGATGATGATGATGATGATGATGATGATGATGATCATGATGATGATCATGATCATGATCATGATCATGATCATGGGATAATAATCGTAGAGCATGAGTGTTGATGTGCACCGACAGTTTGGGGTGGGATCGTGGAATTTTCCTTGGAGCCTCGGAGCCCGCAGGGGCGTGCCTGCTTGTTGGGGGGCCTTTTCGCCGGTGGGCCTCGTTCCCGGCCTGGCTCCCCTCGGCCCTCCAAAACGGGTGGGCTCGGTAGGTTGTGTTTTGGTTGCCCGTGAAGGCCCCCCTGCCCTCGCGTGTGCGGCACGGCCTGCTCCGCAACCGTACCATATGGCTCCAATCTGGTACAGATTATCGCGAGGTCTGGGCGCCCAGCCCACCTCGCAGCAGGGCGCGGCATGGCGCCCTGACGGGAGCAGCGGCTCCACCCGTGGAATCGAAGATTGTGAGAGGCCGCGGCGAGCAGCCCAGGAACAGCAGGCCGCGGCGAGCTGGTGTGCTGGGCGCTGTGGGCCTGCGGCGCGGCGGACGCCAGGCAGAGCTGGATGGCCGTGTCTGCAGACGCCAAGAAGGCGGGGGCCGAGGCGCTGCGGGGCGGGGGTGCCGACGTCACAGACGACGACGTCGCCGAGCTCGTCCTGAAGGTGAGGTCGACGCTGAGCGCAGGGCGAGCCCCCCGTTCCAAGCGGGACGAGGCACGGCGCCTGGAGGCGGCGCTGGACCCGGTGGCCGTCCGCCTGGCGTCGGGGAACCCCGAGGTGCCAGGCTCCGCGATGGCCGAGGCCCTCTGGGGGTTCACAGAGGCCGCCACTTTCGCCACGCAGACGGAGGGTCGGATCAGACGAGTGGCGGCCGACGCCGATGGCTGGGAGACGATCGCGGATCGGATCTGGGCCCGAGCGGTGGGGGCCGACGGGAACACGCTGCCCGTCGACTGGGTGCTGCACCTTGGCATAGGCCTCTTCCTGTCGAGCCTGGCGGTGGTGCTGGGGGCCGACTCAGTGCGACACCGCCTGGCTGGCGGGGCTGTAGGGCTGGTCGGGACCGTCCTGCTGGTACGGCGGGTGCCCGAGCGGGTGGTCGCCTGGTGGACACGCTGTCGGCGGCGTTCGGCCTTCGCCGCGGCGCGGAGGCGCGGCGGGGACGGCCTGGACCGGACCGCCGCCGAGGCCGCGGAGGAACCTGCGGGCCCGCTGCACCCGCCGGGGCTTGCAGCACTGCCGCCTCCGCCGTGGGCCCCACCCGCCGAGGGCGCAGGCGCGGGTACCGCTGTGGGGAAGCCTGGCGCGCAGGACCTGTCGGCGCTGCGGGCGTTCGCCCAGGGGTGCGAGGTGCCGGGCCCCTCCAGCCAGACAGCGGCCATGCAGCAGCAGCAGCAGCAGCAGCCACAGCCGACACCAGAGGTGGCCGTCCCAGCTTCGGGGCTCAGCTTCCACGTTCCCCACGCTCCTGCAGATGCGGTGCAGCTAGGACGGGAGGTTGAGATAGCGGGCGCCACGCTGCGCGAGTTCCAGGCGCAGGCGGCCATCAACGAGGACTGGGCCTGGCACTTCTGGGAGAGGATCGCGGCCGTGGATGGCGCCAGGGGGCTGCGCCCTGACCTACGACGAGTGCTGCAGACTCGCGGCTACGTGGGCGCGGGGACGACGTCCCCGCCAGGAGAGTCGTTGCAGCAGGAGCTGGACGCGCTGGTCGCCTCCCCTACGGCGCCTCACGGCGGGGGCATGCACGCCTCCCCTGGGTGGGCCGTGGCCCCGCAGACCCAGCAGCATCAGGAGGACAGTCGATGGAACCTGAGCCTCCCGCCGGAGCTGCGGCGCGCAGCGCCGGAGATCTACCGCACCATACGGGGCGCGGGGGCGGCCAGCGCGCGGGACTGGCTGTCGCAGGAGGTGACGGGCCAGCGACACACGGCGGCCTGGACCGACCTGTGGAATGCCGCCACCAACGTGGACTACTTGCTGGGCGGTTGCGCGAACCAGTCCGAGCTGCTCACACGGTTGGCGTCCGACGATGCGCTGGAGCTGCACCTGAGGCGGCTGGCGAGCTACGTCTACGAGATGCGGACGAAGGACAAGGTTGGGGGGGCGGCCATGGCGGCTGTCCGCCCGCCCGGGTCAGCCGCCGACTTGGCTCCGACATGGCTGGTGACCGAGGCCACGACCCACAGCCAGGCGGAGCACCAGCGCGACGAGAGGGTCCACGCCGCCATCAAGCACGAGGGTCGAGGCGGCGGCCGTGGCGGGGGCCAAGGAGGTGTGGCGGGGGGCGGCAGCGAGGTAGCCAGCGGCGGCCGAGGCCGAGGGGGCGATGGCGGGGGGCGCGGCCGCGGCCGAGGGGGTAAGCCCTCGGTCCGGGGCAAACCCCAGGCCTGACGGTCACTGGCGGACCGAGGGGCTTACGACCCGCCCTCGGTCCGAGCAGGTGCCCCGCCGCCGCGGGTGCAGCCTAGAATGCCAGTGACGGGTTTGTCAGGCTCGCTGACGCAGGCCTTGCAGTGGAAGGAGGCCGAGGCCAGGTCGTTCTTTCCCATACCTCTACCTCATCGGCCACGACAAGGAGCTTCCTCTTCAGGCAGGTTGAGGACGCGCTGGGCACGACGCATGCGGGTGTGGCGTCGGGCCTGTGGGCTCATCGAGCTCATGAACGGGATGGACCGCGGATCCCTGGAGGCGAGACTAACGGGCCAGCGCGAGGCGAGCGACAACGAGATGATGCTGGCCTGGCAGCTCGTGCAGCAGTATGCGTTACAGGACGCAGCGCGGTACGAGCGCGACTGCCGGGGGCTTGCCCCGACAGGCGGTCAAGGGACGGATCTTGCCTGCGACAGAGGACCGCAGGACGCCTACACTGGAGAGCGCAAGGGTGTGAGCAAGCACGTGATGATGTGCGCAGCGGCGGTGGCAGAACCTCCGGACGACATGGTCGTGGACCTGCTGGAGGCGCTGCCCGACGGCGAGCGCCAGTACTATTCGGACGAGCAGAACGTCCTGGACTACAGCGGCAAGTCCGGGGTTCTCTTCGAGGAGCTGGAGGAACGCTTCGCTTTCGTGGGGGGCTCGACGTCCGAGTACGCCCGCTACCTGATGCGGGCCGATCTGCCGAAGGACATGTGGACGTTCGAGGACCCCAACGATGTCCAGGCCTACTGCGGGTTTAGTTGTGTACCTAAGAAGGACCCCGCTAAGCAGCGGAAGGTCCTGATGATGTGTGCCAGCAACTACGTGTGGGCGGACCCTCACCAGCGCGGCGACCACGGGATGCACGGCGGGGCGGCCATCGCCTCCATGTGTGTCCCGACGGACGAGTGGGGAGTGGCTGCTTTCGACGAGGACAACGCCTTCACCCGCCTCCGCGTCCCCGCTTGGATGGCCAGGTGGCAGGCATGCCCGCCGATCCGCGCCTGCTGGGTGTGGGGTAAGCTCAGCCAGCGTATGCGCGACAGGGTGGGGCCGACGGGCTGGATAGCCCCCTGCTACCATCGCCTGGCCATGGGCGGCTCGCACTCCGTGCACCTGCTCATGACGGTCAACATGGCGATCATCGGCAGGGCGCTGCTGGGCGTAGGCGCACGCTTGGGGGCGCTCGCGGGCGCCGCGGCTCCCGCCGACGGCGCGGCCTGCGGTGCGCCACGCACCTCGCCGCCCGAGGACGGGGGGCTGGAGGCTGGCAGCCGCGGGGATGCCGAGCCTGAGGACGCTCAGCAGCACCGCTACGACGACGACTGGCTAGGGCAGCAGTCCAGCTGCCGGGCCGCGCCGCCTAGCCCGAGGGGCTACAGCGTGGCGGAGTGGCTGGAGACAGTGAGGCGGGCGAAGAGAGATGACGAGCGTGTGATGGTGGTGATGCATCTCTTCGCTGGCCGTCGGCGGCGTGGTGACGTGCAGGAGGTGGTAGAGAGGCTGGCGAAGGAGCGGAGCTTGAGGGTGCTCTTCCTTTCCGCCGATCTCCTGGACGACCCGCGGTGGGACCTGGCCAACCCCTCCACGTTCTCCTCCTTGATGGAGCTGTGCGAGGGCGGCTGGGTGGATATCGTACTGGGCGGTCCGCCCTGTTCAACCTGGTCGCGGGCACGCTACAATCGTCGCCGACCTGGTCCGCCGCCGGTGCGCTCGCGGCGGTGCCCCTGGGGGCTGCCCGGCCTCAGGGACTGGGAGGCCGCCAGAGTCGCGGAGAGTAACACCTTGACGCTGAACTTGTTGGCGCTCTGCGAGGCGTGCGGCCAGAGTGGCGGCGCCTTCCTCATCGAGCACCCGGAGGGCCCAGGGCATGCGCCCTACCCATCCATCTGGAACACGACTGAGATGCTGGATTTCGAGACGAGGCGCTCGTCGCGGAGAGCGTGCTTGGACCAATGCATGTTGGGCGGACGGACGAAGAAGCCCACGTGCCTGAGCGGCACACTGCAGGGGCTGGAGGACCTGAACGAGCTGCGGTGTGACGGGCCCCATGCCCACGAGACGGCCGAGGGCAAGCTGGCCGACGGCACCTTCCGCACGAGCCCGCTGGCCCAGTACCCCGAGAAGATGTGCGAAACGCTGGGCTCCTTGATTGTTCAGACCCTGGCCATCTTCGAGCAGACCGGCTTGGGCGGCACCGGGTGGCGAAGGCCGCCGGAGGCCGACAGGTCGGTCGGTCGGTCACCGCCTGGAGCTCGCGGAGCACTACGACGCCAGCGGTAGCCGTGCGGAACGAGGATGTGCTTCGCGGTCGGGGGTTGGTGCTGGATGGGCCGCAGATGGCCTTCTACCTACACGTCGACGACGGGGTGGTGATGGCCGGTGGCAGCGGCTGTGGCCCACGGGCCTCTGGGAAGATGCACCAGCTGGCGGATGCCCTGGCCGAGGCCGGCTTCGTGGTCACCGACCGCACGGAGGCCAGCGACATGCAGAAGGTGCTGGGCTACGCACCACAGGCGCGTCCGGCGCAGCTACGCTTGCCCCCGAAGAGGGCACGAGAGCTGGTGCAGCAGCTGGAGGCGATGGGCGCCACCCGCTCCCTCCACACCGAGGAGCTTCGGTCGCTCCTGGGGGTGTGGATCTGGGGCGCACTACTTCGGAGGGAGCTGCTCTGCATACCCAGCGCCGTCTTCAGGCTCCTGGAGAGGCACCCGCACCAGAGGGTGTGCACCTGGGCGACCGTCCGCAGGGAGCTGCGGGCTATGGCTCGAGTAGTTCCACTGATGTACGCCGACCTGGGAGCCCCGCCAGCCCCCGTGTATTTCGCGGCGGACGCCATGGGCGCCAACGTGGAGGACGACGGCGGTTGGGGCATCCTGGTGACAGACATGAGCGAGGACATCGCGAAGGACTTCATCGACACGGGCGGCAACTTGGGCTACACCGTGGCGCGACTGGACGGCGAGCTTACTGGATTGCGGCGTCCCGAGCTGGTCATCCGTCGGACGAAGCCCTTCAGCCTCCTCCCCGATCGAGTGTTCAAGCCCGACGAGGACTGGACGATCGTAGGAGCGGGGAGGTGGCGGGCGGCCGACCACATCACGCTGGGCGAGGGGCGCTGCGTCGTGAAGATCAGCAGACTGGCGGCCGCCACTCCTGCTTTACACCGCACCGTGCTGCCGATCCTGGAGGACAACCAGCCAGTCTCGGGTGCGGTATGCAAGGGGAGGTCCCCGGCGCACATGTTGAACCACCTGTTGCGTCAGAAGACCGCAGCAGGGATGGCATCTCGTACGAAGATTCTGATTCCATGGGTGGAGACGCTCAGGCAGCCTGCTGATAAGATATCGAGGTGCCTGACTCGTGCTGAGCTCCGCGGCCTACCTCATGTCGGGGCCGAGGAAGCTGAACAGCACTTCTGTTGAGAAGGTAAAGCCGCACACCCTGGCAGCCTACAGGGCGGCGGCTATGAAGTTCGTGACCTACCTGGACGAGCACGGCGTTGTCCCCGACGGGCCCAAGCAGTGGGACGACCTGCTTGTCGAATACAAGAACGACATGCAGATGACCAAGTGCAGTTTCGAGTACGCTGTCGTGGCAGTGGAGTTTGTCTTCCCACGCCTGAGGAGGAAGCTGACTTGGTCCCACTCGGTGACTGACGCATGGCGAGTGTCGGCCGAGGTGAAGCACGCGCCGCCGCTCGGCCGCGCGCCGGCCAACCTGGCCGCTATCTATTTCTCCTGCTGGGGCGTGCCGCGGCTGGGCGTAGGCTTGCTACTGCAGGTGGACCGCGGCCTGCGCCCGTCGGAGATGCTTCAGCTCAGAGCAAAAGACATATCCTTGCCATCGTCGAGAGGGGGACATGATTTGCAGCCAAATTGGGTTATCCACTTGGGAGCCAAGTCGGGGACAAAGGCCAAGAGGATGCAGTTCGCCATTATTCTGGAGCAGGGCGGAGTACTGGAGAACCTCTTGCACCGAGTAGTCTTGGGAACGCCGCCCGAGGGGCTCCTCTTTCCTTACTCGCTTGTCGACCACAGGCATCGGCTCAAGCAGTTTGAAGCAGCCCTGGGCCTCGACATTCACTGGACGCCACACTCGGCGCGCCAAGTTTCGCCAGTGATTCCGTGGCTCGTGGTGTCCCCTTCCAGGACATCTAGGAGGCAGGACGGGGGCTCACCGAGTCCAGCCTCCGCATCTACGTGGACGTTGTCACCGCCTCCCGGGTCCTGGTGCAGGCTGAGCAGCGAGGTATCGCACCGCCCATCCGCGAGACGGCCGAGAAGCTGCCCTACTACTTCCCGGAGGGCATCTTCGGCGAGGGGGAGGGCCTCCAGCATGCCGCCAGCGGGTTGGCGCAAGGGCCAGGACGGCGCCTGGGTGCTGCCGACAGAGGGAGTCCCTCCAGCGCCGCTGGCGGGGGGCCGCCGGGTGGCCTCGCCAGCACCGCGGGCCCCAGCCCAGTCGCCTGCGCCAGCACTCGGCGCCCTGGTGGATGGGCTGCTGGCGGGTCCGCAGCAGCCTGGGGATGCAGCGGCGGGCGCGGGCGCGGCCGAGGCCGAGGCGCCAGCGCCGGCGGCCCCAGGCGTGGCGGCACTGAGGCCCCCGCAGCCGCTGGGGGCGCAGCCGCTAGCAGCGGGCGCGGCCGCGGGGCAAAGGCGCGCGCGCTGGAGCAGCTGGTCGCTGTTGCGCGCGGCCTGGCTCATCGCAAGGTGGTGCGGACGCTCGACTACTCGGGGAGTGACGTGGGCGGCGGTCGCCGCGATGCTGATCGGGTGGAGCTACATGGCCGGGCCACTCGCCCACCTCGGGACCATGATGGGTGTCGTGGCCAGCGTATCAGTCTCGGCTGGCAAAGTGGTCGACAGCAGCCTCGGGGCAGTCATCACGGCAGCGCAGGGCGTGTCCGACTTCGCCGTGACGTCGTCCCGCAGCTCGGCGAGCCTCCTGCAGGAAGCCTGGCGCGGGGTCGACATTACCAACCTGCACGTCCGCCAGCGCCACGCCGAACGGCTAGCGGACGACCCCGAGATCCTGCAAGCCTGGATCGAGCGCGAGTTCCTGACAGGCGAGCCTCGCCCGCCAGGAGCCGAGCAGGTCACCACCGCGATCTCTGAAGCTTCGGTGAACATACCTCACATGTCAGAGAGATGGCAGATGATGATCTGGCCAAGTCAATACCGCGAGCTGCACATGACACTTGACCTGCTGCCGTCCGGGTTCTACGGAGTCCACATGGTCGAGCGGATCGTGAACTTCAAGGTCCAGTGGAGCAACCCAGTCTGGAGCAGCCTCGACTGCGACATCAGCTCAGAGAGAGATACAGTCGTGGCGCACATAAACTCCACCCTGGAGGGGCTCCCACTCCCCGAGATACGCTACATGTCCATGACTGATCGTGAAATTCAAGTTGCCAGGCTCCCAGGTGCCTGGATCAACATTGCCCGTAGGCTACTTCGTGCTGTATATATGGCAGTTAAGAGTGTTTTGCAGCTCGTTTTGTTCGGAGTCTAGGGTGGTCACCGAAGATTTAGGAGTTTTCTGGTGCACACTGCGAGGGCGGGCCTGGGGGGCTTGCTTTCAATTTTGATTGTGTTCCAGGTTCCTTCTCAACTCATCAAGGTCCGAGCACATTTTGTGCCCCGGGTGAAGGACCAAGCTGTTGAGACACATACAGCTCGCAAGCGGAGGTGGGAAGAGCTCGGCGGCAAACTGAGTTTAGCAAGCCTTGAAGCAATTGTATTGTACTTCTCGCCTCCTCAGCAAAACATTCCAGGGGTGGGTCGAAACGGACACCATCATGGGATAATAATCGTAGAGCATGAGTGTTGATGTGCACCGACAGTTTGGGGTGGGATCGTGGAATTTTCCTTGGAGCCTCGGAGCCCGCAGGGGCGTGCCAGCTTGTTGGGGGGCCTTTTCGCCGGTGGGCCTCGTTCCCGGCCTGGCTCCCCTCGGCCCTCCAAAACGGGTGGGCTCGGTAGGTTGTGTTTTGGTTGCCCGTGAAGGCCCCCCTGCCCTCGCGTGTGCGGCACGGCCTGCTCCGCAACCGTACCATATGGCTCCAATCTGGTACAGATTATCGCGACCGGAAGAGCTCGGCGGCAAACTGAGTTTAGCAAGCCTTGAAGCAATTTTATTGTACTTCTCGCCTCCTCAGCAAAACATTCCAGGGGTGGGTCGAAACGGACACCATCATGATCATGATCATGATCATGATCATGATGATGATGATGATGATGATGATGATGCTGATGCTGATGATGATGATGATGATGCTAGGAATGATGATGATGGAGAAGTTGTCAGGCCCGTTTGGCCTGAGACATCCTTGCAACGTGCAACGCTTAGCTCCCGCATGCCCTGACCTGAGCTGGTCCTGCCTGTTTCGCGCGAGACACCCTCGCGCTTCTGAGGTCGGAGATCCTCGCAACTCTGGGCTCGGCAACTGCCTGACTGGAGGTGGACTGGCCAATATCGCCTGACACATCCTCGCAGCAGCGGGCTCAGACGCGACGCACGTCGGGTCGGACACTTCCTGCCCCTGTCAGATTGGATAATGATGATGCTGCTGATGCTGATGATGATGACGGCGATGATGATGATGATGATGATGATGATGATGATGATGGTGATGATGGTGATGATCACGATGGTGATGATGATGATGATGATGATGATGATGGTGACGACAATGATGATGATGATGATGCTGATGATGATGATGATGATGATGGTGATGGTGATGGTGGTGGTGGTGGTAGTTGTGGTGATGATGATGATGATGATGATGACGGTGGTGGTGGTAATGATATGGGTGAGGGTGGAAGTGAGACGAGGATGGATATGATGATGATGTTGACGATGATGTGCATTATCATGGTGATGACGATGATGAACATTATGATGATGATGTTGTTGGTAATGATGGCACGGATGATAATGGTGGTGATGGTGATGATGGTGGTGATGATGATGCATGTGATGATGATGGTGGTGGTGATGTTGATGATAAGTATGTTGATGATGATGATGCTGATGATGATGATGAGTACTATTAATTACATTCGTGGCCCTTTCTTATCATGCTGCTGATGTGACTGATGATGCTGATGATTATGATGATGATGATTATAGTGATGCTGATGATAATGATGATAGTGGTGATGATGATGATGACGACGATGATGATGATGATGATGATGGTGATGATGCTGCTGCTGATGATGATGATAATGATGATGATGATGATGATGATGATGATGCTGATGATGATGATGATGATGATGATGATGATGATGATGATGATGATGATGATGATGATGGTGATGGTGATGGTGATGGTGGTGGTGATGGTGCCAGTGGTTGTGGTGGCGGTGTTTTTCCATTTGGGATCTCTCCCAGCACCGGGCCCTCTTGTGGATTATCGTGGGGTGGTGTACCCGAACCCCAAATTCTACAATTGTCCGAATCGAATTTCCTTTTGGAGAGCCTTCTCTCTCGGTTGGACCCCCGCCAGAATCTCGGGGCGTCCCAGACGGAAAATCACTCCGGAACCGTTCCAGAGTGATTTTCCATGTGGGCCCCCTGGTAGAGCAGGCGCTCTCGGGGATACTTAGAGGGAGCTGCACCCTGGGACCCCCAGCTGAGTCCCGGGGAGGCCCCAGATGGAAAATCATTCAGGAACCGTGCCAGGGTGATTTTCCATCTGGGCCCCCCGGGGACAAAAGTGTGTATATGTGTGCCCGAGTCCAGATTGTAGTCACGGAATCGCTTCGTTCACTCCGCTCATATCTAATGGTTTTCGGCCTATACCGCCACCGTGTCTGGGTGGTGGGTCTGCGGCCTCTGGTATGTTTGACGGGATCTCGTCGAGGCCTGTCGGGTGCCTCCTTGGGGCAGTTCTGAAGCCTTTGGGGGGCCATCGTGGGGCATCTTTGGGCCTTCAGGGGGCCTCGTGGGACCTCGTGGGGGCCTGTGGGGGACCCCTTGGAGCCTCTTGGGGGTTTCTTGGGGCCTCCTGGGCGCTTCCTGGGACCGAAGGCTTGGATTTTCGGTTCGTGCTCCCCCTCTTGGGCCACCCTTGGGGCCCTCTTCGACCGTCTTGGGCGCCTCTTGGCCGTCCTGGGGCCTTTTTGAGGGCCCCATGGGGCCGTGTCGGGGCGGTTTGGGGGGCCGTTTGGGGCGTCTTGGAGCGTCGGGAGCTCGTAAAGCGGAGAAACCCCAAAGACATTTCAAAACCTAAGGACAAGCAATGAGTTTGTCCTTCCCCAGGCTTTTTTTTAGAGGAGGGAGGAGGAGGAGGGAGGAAGAGGAGGAGGAAGGAGAAGGAGGGAGGAGGAGAAGGGAAGAGACGATGAGGGAGGAGGAGGAGGGAGCAGGAGGAGGGAGGAAGAGAAGAGAGGAGGAGGAGGCGGGAGGAGGAGGGGGGAGGGGGAGGGAGGAGGAGGAGGTGGGAGGTGGAGACTCCTTGGAAGGTCTCGGGCGCTTTGTCGGCCGACAGGAGATCATCTTGGGCGTCTTGGACCGATCGTTCAACGATTCGGGGCCCTCTCGGACCGTCTTGAGGGCCTCCCGGGGGCCCCGACGACCGCTCCGGGAAGTTCTGGCATCCTTGGGAAGGCGCCCTCGGGGACCTAGTTTGGGGAGGCCCGAGCCCAAACTAGCTGTTTCCAAATCGGACCCATCATTTGGGGAGTCCTCTCTCTTCTTGCGGGGCCCCCAGCTGAATTTCGGAGAGGCCCCAGATGGAACCTCAACCCAGAATCGTTCCAGGGTGTTTTTCCATCTGTGAGCCCCCCAAACATAGGTGGCCCTCTCGGAGATGAGTGGGGGGCCCAGAAAAACAATGTTTTAAATCGAATATCTGGTTAGGGAGCCTTCTCTCTCTTTGCTGGGCTCCGCGTCGGAATCTCGTGGGGCCCAAGAAGAAAATTCACCCCGGAACTCCAGGGTGTTTTTCCATCTGGATCCCCCCGTGCAGCAGGCACTCTCGGGGGTACGTGGAGTGTGTGTGTGTGTGCCCGAGCCCTAAAACGAGTCATTTTCCAACTCGAATCTTCTGCTCGGGGGACCTCTCTTTCTGCGGGGGCCCCCGTCCGAATCTCGGGGAGGCTCCAGACGGAACCTCCTTCGGGAGCCGTTTTCCAGTGTGATGTTCCACCTTTGCACGCCCAGTCCAGAGGGCGCGCTCGGGGACGAAGGGGCGGCTGTGCCTGTGAGCACCAGAGTGAGAGGAGGAGGAGGAGGAGGAGGAGGAGGAGGAGGAGGAGGAGGAGGAGGAAGAGGGAGGATGAGGAGGAAGAGGAGGAGGAGGAGGAGGAGGAGGAGGAGGAGGAGGATCATTTTCCACATCGAATCTCTGATTGGGGAGTCCTTTCTCTTCGCTGCGGCTCCCAGCCAGAATCTCGCGGGGGGGGGGGCCAGAGGAAACATCGCCCCGGCTGCGTTCCAGTGCATTGTTCCACTCGGGACCCACCCCCCCGCCATCACAGCAGGAGGCTCTCTCGGTGATGAGTGGCAGGGGGTGCCCGAGCCCAGAAACGAGCAGTTTTCCAAGTGGAACTTCTCACTGGGGGCCGTTATCTCTTCTTCCTCTTTGCTGGGCTCCCCGCCGGAATCTCGGGGCGTCCCATTCGGAAAATCACCCCAGAACCCAGAGGGTATCTGGTCCATCTGGGCCCCCCTTCCGAACATGCGCTCTCGGGGTAAATGGAGGGGGTCTGCGCCCGCTCCCCCCCAAATCAGTCGTTTTCCATATGGAATCTCTCCTTGAAGTGTCCTCTCGCGTTGCTGGGATTCCAGCTGAGTCTCGGGGAGGCCCCAGATGGAAAACCACCCCGGAAACGTTCCAGGGTGATTTACAGAAGGCGCTCTCGGGGACAAGGGGGTGTATGTGCCCAAGCCCCCAAATAAGTAAATTTCAAATCGAATCCTATATTCGAGAGTCCTCTCTCCTTGCTGGCCCCCAGCCGCAATCTCGGGGGGATGGAAAACCACCCGGGGATAAATAGAGGAGGTGCTTGCCCGAACCCAAATATGTGTCTTTGTTCCAACCATCCTGTGGTGTTGGGTCTTCGTTTTGAAGAGACAGCGCCCCACGTTCCTTCCTCCCTTCCTCCTCCCCTTCCCACTCATATCATCATCGCGCTTCGTGGCCCCATAGGGAGCTCCACCGAAGGCCTCAGTGGCACAGTCCGCATGGCGTACCCGCACCCGATTTGGCACACCTCTCACATGTTTCGTGGCCCCATCGATGCTCCGCCGAAGGGCCCAGTGGCACAGACCGCATGGCGCACCAGAGCCCGATTCGGCACACGCATCACATGCTTCGTGGCCCCATAGGAAGCTCGACCGAAGGCCCCAGCGGCACAGTCCGCATGGCGCACACGCGCCCCCGACTCGGCATACCCCTCACACTTTTCGTGGCCCCATAAGGAGCTCCGCCGAAAGCCCAGCGGCACAGTCCGCATGGCGCACCCGCGCCCGATTCGGCACATCCCTCAAACGCTTTGTGGCCCCATAGGGAAATCCGACGCAGGCCCAAGTGGCACAGTCAGCACGGCGCACCCGCACTCGATTCGGCACACCTCTTACACGTTTTGTGGCCCCATGGGAAACTCCACCGAAGGCCCGAACGGCACAGTCCGCATAGCGCACCCGCACCCGACTCGGCACACCCCTCACACGTTTCGTGGCTTCATAGGGAGCTCCACTGAAGGCCGTACGCGCACCCGACTCGGCACCCCCCTCACGCGTTTCGTGGCTTGGCCCCATGGGGAGCTCCACCGAATTCTCCGGGGCACAGTCCGCACGGCGTACCCGCACCCAATTGCACAACCCTCACACGTTTCGTTGATTTCGTTGCCCCATGGGGAGCTCCACCGCAAGCCCCAACGTCACAGTCCGCATGGCGTGCCCGCCCCATTTCGGCACATCCCTCGCACGCTTTGTGGCCCCAGGGGCACTAAGTAGCGAGTTGGCCAGCGTGCAAGGAGGGAGGGGTGAGGCCGACGAGAGGAAGGAGGGACGCTCAGACGCCACAGGCTTCGACGATGAGCAGCCGGCAGGCGACAGCAGCCTGGCGCGCCGGGCCAGAGCGCGGTGGAGACACCGCGATCATCGTAACGCGGCGCCCCGAGGAGAACGCACAGCACTGAGCCGTGCGGGGGCGGGAGCAGCGAAAAGCAGTGAAAGGGGTACTGCAGCGTGGCCCCATGAAGAGATCCACTGAAGGTGATACCCACAACGGCGGCACTCGCAACTGCATGTGGTTGGATCCTTCGCCAGGATAAGTGCTTGTGTGGGTGTACAGCCGCAGTCACTTTGTACTTGTTCTTGGCAGGGGCAGTAGGCCTGCACACAGCAGGCAATATGCAGCCCCCCACCCGTCTCTGGCAAAGTGAACCTTGCATTGGCAAAGTGAACTTAGTATTTTCTGTTGCAGCGGATGGTGGGCCTGTACACATCAGGTGATCTGCGGGCCCCCTGCCGCCTCTAGCAAAAACCGAAGGGATGGTTGGGGGGGTGCTGGCATTGCACACAGCATGCAGCATGCTGCCCCCCCCGCCGTCCCTGCCAAAACCATTACACATTGATCGCGGGGCGTCCGCGCCTTATCCAGATGTTGGTGCAAAGTGCACGTCGTATGGCGTGTTGCCAGGGATTGTGGGGGTGTGTTGGCATTGCGCATAGCAGGCAATCGCCCCCGCCGTCCCTGTCAAAACACACATTGCAAGGTGATCGTGGGGCGTCCGCGCCTGATGCAGATGTTGACGCAAAGTGCACTTGAAAGCTTTGCAGCCGAGAAATATGTTAATCTTTACCGTATGGGACCTAGCACGGACTGGATGGGACCGGTCGCAAGCAGCTTGCGGGAGGCCTTAATTGGGGCGATCGTCAAGAGCGGGGTACAAACCACACCACAACAAGTCCTTCGCTCCGTTTGCGTAGCCGCGTCCAGCCGTGGCGACTAGGGGGCCCCAAAGGCCCAGGAGAGTAGGAGGAGGAGGAGGAGGAGGAGGAGGAGGAGGAGGAGGAGAAGGAGGAGGAGGAGGAGGAGAAGGAGCAGGAGGACGATAAGGAGGACGATAAGGAGAAGGGTAGTGAGAGGACTGGTTGTTTCCAGCGGCGCGGGCTCAATGAGCCGACCGTCGTCAGCGCTGTGAGTACGACGCATGCCTTTCAATGCACTCTTCTGGTGGCGGGCCCTGTGCCCTTTTCAGGTGCTCGCCTGCATTGCGAGCAGGCGAGCGCCCCAGGTCAGTCGCCGCGACACCGTCCGAGTCCCCGCCTGGTGCACTGCTCGAAACAAGTGCGCAAGTCTACGCGTCACCATCGTTCCTCGGACGGGGCTAGGCGGCTAGGACGAGGATAAATCCGTTCCAGGGCGTTCCGTAACGCTCTCAGAGCATTCCGGAACGCTCTCAGAAGGCCGCGGCGTCCGAGACATCCTCCAGAGCCGCAGGATCCCAGAGATTCTCGATTTTTCCTCGCCCGATGTTATCCTCGTCCTGGCTTCGTCTTGGCTTCTCCCGTCATCTGCCATCCTTACCCTCGTCGGCTTCTCTGCTTTCTCCTCCCCCACTCTTCCCCCCCCCCCCCTGCGCGATCCCGGCCGCGGATCGTCGGCGGGCGCGTCTTGGGACGGCTGCCGGGTGCGCGTGCCAGAGGCAATCACTAATGTCGCGAGAACTCATGTCGCGGGCGCCCCGAAACACCGAACTGCGTGAGATTCTTTCTCTCCCCACCCGACAGGCTGGGGTTGCCAGATTTTTCCCGACCGTTCTGTGGTGCTGGGCCCTCGTTTCGAAGAGACAGCGCCCCGCGTTCCTTTTTTCTCCTCCCCCTCGTCCCTCCTCCCCCCTCCTCCCATCATCGCCATCATCACCATCACCATCACCATCACCATCACCATCACCATCACCATCATCATCATCATCATCATCATCATCATCATCATCACCATCATCACCATCATCACCATCACCATCACCATCACCATCACCATCATCATCATCATCATCATCATCATCATCATCATCACCAGCACCATCATCATCATCATCATCATCATCATCATCATCATCATCATCATCATCATCATCATCACCAGCATCATCATCATCATCATCATCAGCAGCAGCAGCAGCTTCAGCATCATCATCATCATCATCATCGTCGTCGTCGTCGTCGTCGTCATCATTAACATCTGCGGCGACTAGCTGGCGCACGGCGCGCGCCACGACCCCCAACTTCGCTGCCTGGCACGACGAGCTGGAAGAAGCCTCGTGGTCGGGCAACACCCTCGTCCGCCACGTTCAGCAGCTTTGGTCCCCGCCCTTTTGGCGCGACCAGACCATCGTTCAGCTCCTGCGTGCACGCCTCGAGTCGAGCGCGTTCCCGAGGGTCCCCTCTGACCCACAGCGCTCCGCGGCTGCCGAGGCCAACCAAGTAGCCGCCCTCGCCGAGAGGCTCCCGAGGCGCCGGAAATGGCAAGCTACATACACTCGCGCCCTCTCCCGAGAGCTAAACCCATACCGCTTTCACCTGACGCTGCAGAAGCGCGTGAAAGCTTGGTTCCCAACGATGCAGGTCCCACCCCTCGCCCCGTGCTGGTCCGACCTGCGTGAGATCCTGACCAAACGCCGCCCGACCGTCTTTTGGTCTGTCCTCAAAATTCCCTCGGGCGGGTGGATCACCATCCGCAGAATTCGCATCCTGGGCCCGACGGGGGGCGTATTGGGGTGCGAAGGGGAACCCGATTTGATTTCTCACTACTTCTCCGGCCCTCGCCTGCTTCACCTCGTTGCCCTTCCCCGCTTCTTCCTCCTCAACTCTGTCATCACACGTCAGGGGCTCGGAGAGGAGCACGAGTATTCGGGGGAGACCTCGCGGAAGCGCGCAGTTTTCCTCCTTGCCCTGGCGTTCAAACTTTACCACAAAGTTTGGTTGAGGTCAGTTGGATCGCCCTCACATTTACTTCACACCGAGCACCTAGAGGTGGTGTCTGCGGCGAGTCGCTCGCTAATGGCCTGAGACACAGACCACGTTGCTCGAAGCTACGTGCGATCATCATCATGCTCATCAGCAGCAATATCAACATCCTCATCCTCGTCCTCGCCATCATCATGATCACCAGCATCCTGATCCTCATCCTCATCACCACCATCAGCCGCATCACCATCATCATCATCAGCAGCATCATCGTCATCCTTAATATCACCAACACCATCAGTATCGCCCACCCATCCTCAGCATTACCGTCACCGCCATCATGACCAGCAGCAGCGAGCATCAGCATCAGCATCAGTATCAACACCAGCATCGTCATCACCACCACTATCAGTCACGTTTCGGCACACCCCTCACACGCTTCGTGGCCCCATTGGAATTCCGCCGCAGGCCTCATTGGCACAGTCCGCATGGCGTACACACGCCCACGTCGGTACACCCGTCACACGCTTCGTAGCCCCATAGGGAGCCCCACCGAAGGCCCAATTGTCACAGTCCGCATGGCGTACCCGCACCCGGTGTGGGACATTCGTCACACCTTTCGTGGACCCATACGAGGTCCCCCACAGGCCCCCGCGGCACAGACCGCATGGCGTACGCGCATCCGATTCAGCACACCCTCCACACAAATCGTGGCCCCATACGGAACTCCAGCGACGGCCCCATCGGCACAGACCGCACGGCGTACCCGAGCCCGATTGGGCACATTATGCACACGTTTAGGGGCCCCATAGGAGCTCCACCGAGGTCCCATGGTTTGCTCTTGGGGGGGTGCGGGTGTCAGACGTGGTGGGGAGGGTGGGTCCGTGCGGGACCGAAAATTGGACGGATGTCAACTGTGGTACGGTGCGTGGGCCCGTTTGGGCAGCAATGGGGGGCCGTGGTCGGTTTCGGGCCAGGCATCGTCGAGGGGGTGGTCCCCAGAACCAGAGGACCAGGGGGAATATATGCAGGGACGTGCGAAGTGGGCGTGGGTCGGTTTCCGGCGAGGCATGCGGTCTCGCGAGAAAGGATGTCTCGCACACCTCTTGGGTCGGCAGATCTTGCCGTTCTCGGGGCCACTCACGTGGCTGAAAGCGGCACCTTATTGTGGCAGGTGCGGTTGGCTGGATCAGCTAGGCGACCTTGCAGGTATCGGGCTGCACGGGCATGCTTAATGTATGAACAGCTCCAGACGGTAGGGCTCCGATTTCCGCACTGCAACCATTGGCGCTTCGCAGGCTTTCAGATAGTTCTCGCGCTCTTCCTGGCTGCAGTGCAGGGAATTGCGAGGCGCCGTGCGGTTCCGATTCGCATGGGCAGTGCTCCAGGGTCGCGAGGCCCGTCGGTGGACCTGGGGTCGATTGAAACATGTTCGGGACTCCTCCTCACCCTCATCTTCGTCCCCCTCCACCTCCGCATCCCCTCCCTCCTGCAAGGAGATCACTGCCCAGTCGTTCCCTTCAGTTGCCCCCATTCCCTTCTGGACGTGCTTCCGCTTACTCCATGGGCAGTGGACCAAACAAACCCCCGACGAGAGGTGGAAGTCTCCTGGTCAAGTGTATGCGGCGACTTCCTGCCATATGCTAATCATTGCGTGACCAAGTTGAGGGCACGGGCTGGTGCTGGGAAGGGAGGGGCGGAGAGGCTTTAGTCGTTGAACAACTTCGTCGCATTTTGGAAGTGGCACTGGGCTAGTTTAGCATGGCATGCTTCATTGCGTTTTCGTTTTGACGTGACAACTATACGTTGTTTCAAGTTGGTCACTGCTGCACCCATTAAAACGTCTGGGCAGCACGTCGCGCCCGTTTGTCTTCCCGTCTTGGGACCAAGCCAGCGGCGTTCAAAACAAAGCTCTCTCCTGGGACATCCTCGCAAGAAAATGGTGGTCACATTTGTGGGCGCCGTAGCGGGTGGCCTACCAGGCCTACGCGTGCGCCGCCGTCTGATCGGGTGGTTCGTTTTGTGTTGAGGCCGAGGCGTGCGTGCGCGCGCCGCTGCGGGTTGCGTGCGTTGTTCGGCATCGTGGTGGCCTCAGATGTGGGTGAAACCCTGCACTGTTAACGCGGCTGGCCAATGGCAGAGCCACGCGGCAGCTCCAATGGAGGACAGCTGGTCCACCAATGCACCCGCACGTGAAGCGGTTAGTAGTCGATCTTATGGTTGGCGCAGCAACATAACAAGTTTTGGCCGTTGTTTGCTAACAACAGTGTTCTCTCTATGCACGTCGAAGTATTTCGGGACGCCTACCGCGCATCCGTGCGGAGGTCTGGCATGGTGCGAGGTAGCCATCGTGTAATTGTTTGATCGCTGAGTGTTGAGAGCGGCGCATGTCCCATGTAGGTGGTGTCTGGCAAGTCGGGTGGGCACAAGGATGAACGCGCGGCTAATTGCTGCGACGGTGGAGCCGTCAGCGAAAGCGATGCCTTTGGGTACTGTTCAGTCGCTAGGAACGGAGGCGACGGTTCCAAGGTATCGCTAGCCCCCCCCAAGGGCGCGAAGATTCACGCGTTCCGCGCGTCGCGGTCTTGCCAGAGCGGTTGCCTTTCTCGAGGGGGGCGGCGCCAGGGCGCGGGGGCACGAAGGTGATTGCTCGAAGCGCATGGCGACGCGCGAGGCGCGAAATTCATCGGCCTAGTGGGGCCCCCCCGCCAAGTATCCCAAAGGCGACGGAGAGACTCCCAGGGCCTGGAAGGACTCCAGCGCCGCGAGGGGCTCAGCGGCGTGGAGTGTCCACCGTGCTGCTTCAGACACGAGACAGCCCCACCATGGCCCCCTCGAGGACCCCCACAAGAGCCAAGGCAGCTCGGCCTCCACGAGACTTCTGGCTCATCATCCGAGCGCTCCTGCCCGAGGATCCTGGCTCGACGACTGCTGCGAGTAGCTGCAGGATGTCGCGCGTGTCTCCTCCGGGGTCCCGATGGGGGTCGCTGCGGGGCAGCGCGGTTGTGGCCGTCGTGGAGGCTCCCGCCCGGGCCATTCGGCCAGGATCACCCGGGGCTTGGGCCGCCTCCTGGAGCCCGGGCAGGTCAGGAGCATCCTGCTCGGAGGGCCAGCGTGTTCAGGAGGGGAAAAACACACAGACACAATTCATCGTAGATTCCCAGGAAAATATGGGAACATATGGGAAGTGGGGGGGAAGACAAAAACCCAGAAAATATCGGAAAATATGGGG